TGGCGTGCACATCCCATTCCCATCTGAAAAGCGCGATTCAAACCTTCCATCGAATTGTTTGTCTTTTGATTGCGCGCTCTCTCAAAACTAATTCCAGAGGTCTTGATCCCTATCTTTTCAAAAATATTCCACATATGGAATGATGGCAAATTTTCGCCCAATGGATCGTTGGGGCATTTGAACTCCAGATCTCATCGGGGGATAGTTCACTTTAGAATTCGCCCTGTTTCGTCGGATCTATAAAGGGAAGATAAGCCGAACTCCTGAGTTTTTCTCCAAATAGCTTTTTCAAAGTGGAAAAAGCAGCCTTTGCTAATGGCATGAGGGAAGGCTGATTGAAAAGTATTGATTGACATTTTTTCGAAATCCAGCTAAATTTTGACGCTCTAGGCAACAAATTTACACTAGTTGAAATGCGTCCGCTCTATAAATTGAGGCATGTTAGTTGGTATTTTTTTTTTCAAAATGACTGGTACTGCTAATGTTCATTCAGTTTTTCCCAATAGCGTTGTCGGTCTTATTTTTGCTTGTGTATGTGAAGTGCAACTTCGCCTGTGTCACTTTTAAAAAGTATCGATTTTTTCTTTTGTACCATTGTTATTCTTCTCAATGGTACCTGTGGTTGGAACATTATGTGTTACTTGCACATTGGACCGGCTTCTCTTATTGTTCTGACCTCTGAAAGCGGCTGGAAACTTAGTCTGTTTTTTTTTTACTTTTTCACGGAAAATCAGGTACCACAAAATGGGCATCGAAATGGATCGAGTGACATATCATATTACAGAACTTTCCTTGGTGATTCGAACGACATTGAAAAAACTTCAAAAAGTTTTTTTTTAGTTCTTTTTTCAATCGAGTAGATCGAGTTTGAAGCTTCGTTAAGCGTTTTCTAGCCTATAAAAAAGATGTTCAAAACTTTTTAGGTTTTGAGATAAATTTTGTCGCTTATGCCTAATTTACCTACAATCGTTTCATTTCAAGCTGATGTCTATTTTCTCTCTTCACCCACGCACAAAAAGACTCAAATTTGAAAAAAGTAATTATTTTTTGAATGTTGTCGAAACTCTGTACAGCTTGCACAGTATCCTGCTTGTTTCATAAGGTTTTACTTTTGTTTCATAAGGTTTCGGCTAATTAAGCTCTGTGTTTATATTTCATTTTTGTCCGTGTTTGTTTGCCAAAGGCTTACTTTGCTAGGGTTTCTTTTGCCTGTGTTTCTTTATTAGCTGATGAAACGTGCGCATATATGTCGAATTAGTAAGATAGAGTAGTGATAAATAAATTAATAGCAACAACCTGTGTAATGCTTAACAAATAGCCTTATTTGATGGTTTAATATGCTTTTCTATCGAATTATTTGTAAAGTTTGATTTTGGGATCTTTACAAATTACATGAATTTTTATGGCATGGGCGATTTTGGTAGGACGAATCTGTCCATTATGCGTGCTTGAACTTGACATCTATTAAACATTATTTGAGTTTTAAAAAAAATCACCAAGACCTATATAAGAGTCTTCGCTACGTTCATTGCTCTTAACAAGGAAATAGAAATCAGTCATATAAGAAATTATACATCATATATTGAAGTAACCTTGAAGTCGTGGATCTTTGATTTGAGCTGGGGACGTAGTCGGGTGGGTAACTGTTGCCCATGGGTAGAGAGTAGCGTCCTGGTCCTACTAAAGACTGTCGGGGAAATGTATTGTCGGCTATGTATCTCCCATCCCAGGGCAGAGATCCCGTCGTAGAGTAGGTGTCGAAGCTTGGCCTGGAACGACTAAGCAACGAATCTTTTTATGATATATTCAGAAAATATTGCAGTTGTTTTCGACGGCAGAAGTGGAAAAAAATATCAGATGAGTTATAGATTGGGGTAGGAGTTTTTTAAATCACATTTGAGTGTCGCAATATTCACCAAAATGCAAACTATGCCGAATCTTCAAGTAACTAGGGCAATTACTCAAGGGAAGTTTGGGTTCAGATAGGTTGGGCAATTACTCAAGGGAAGTTTGGGTTCAGATAGGTTGGGCAATTTCTCAATGGAAGTTTGGAAGAGGAGCAGTTGATATTTTACGGTTGGCTGAACAAAATCAAGCTGGTTCTTCTCAGGTGTTGATGACCTACCAAGTGTAATATGTAGAAGTTGTAGTGCTAGTTGGACTCCAGTCGCCATGATGTCCAGGTCCCACTCCTCGATTGTTTCCAGTCGATACAGATCCAGAACTCCTTCTGAAATGGGATCCAAGAGGCACATCACAGTATGACTCAAAGCTCAGTCTGTGTTGTTGTTGAGGTGCTGTTTGGGGTGCATTAGGTGGGTTGCAGTAGTCTGCTGGGGTGATTCTTTGTGGAGGTTGTATTGGGGTAGGTGACGGGTGTTGGTAGTAGTAGTTTGTTGGAGGGTTTTGACTGACAGGAAAGAAGTAGTTTCTAGTGTTGTTCTGAAGGATGTTTGGGGTTGGTGTTCTTCTGCTGGTGTATCCAATGTTGGCGTAGGCGTACTCGAAAGGGTGAAAGGTGCGGTATGTTTGATGCTGCATTTTTGAGACTGATTTAAAGAATCTAAATTATGAGAGGATTCAGTGACTAAATGTGGAAGCGTAGATGTACAAAGAAGCTCTGGTAGGCAGAGGCGTGTGGAGAAGTTTGTTCAGGTAGACGGCTATTGAAAAAAATTTGTTTGATCATAAGTTTCAGAGCTTCAGAAAAATGCTATAATGATTATTGTTCATAAGTTTCGAGCGACAAAAGCAGGGTTGGGAAATGATCTTTGAGCATTTTTTGAAAAGTTGCAACAACAAGTTGAACTCTTCTGATTGTTCCATCATTAGGTTTTAGGGCAGGTATCAATTTTTAAACAGTTTTTTTTTGTAATTTGAGCAGTCTTCCTGAAATCTGGGTACAATTTCGGTGATTTTCGAGCATGAAAAATGTGTAGTTCTTTCTTCTTCTCCCTCACAGGAGCTTCAACTTTACGGTGTAGCGAGTGGATTTACTAGGTGAGTATGAGACAGGGGCGGATCTAGGATTTTCTCGAGGGGGGGGCGGATTTTCAAAAAAATTTCGAAAATTTTGACGACCTTTTTTTTAGGTCGACCAAATTGATTTTTCGAGCTCTCCTAAAGCATTGTTTTGCCCCCATTTTGGCAAAGTTTTCTGCGCCGCAGGCAAGTTTTTGAAAAACAGTCAAAAAAAGCCGTTTTTGGGCACTTTTGTCGAAAAATTTTGACAAAAAAATCGCGTTTTTTTGGCGCACTCCCCCTCAAAAACTAGTTAGTATTGGCGCCAAAGGCGCCCTTAGAAAAATTTTAGGGTCGGTAGGCCAAAAATGGATTTCTTAAAAAGTATCAAAGGGGGGACCCTTTGGGTCGGCAGGGGGTCGAATCCCTGAGGGGGGCAAATGCCCCCCCCCCCCCCCCCCTAAATCAGCCCCTGGTATGAGACCAAATATGTTTGTCGTGGCCTAATTAATCCGCATATCAATTTCATAACAGTCAAGCTATGTTAAACAAGTTTTATTCGTTAATATTTGCACTTGAAGGAAGGGGCGTTCAACAGTGCCGAACTACAACAGTGCCAAAACTGAAAATGTGTAAAACAGTGCCGAAAATTGAGGCTGTTTGACTATTTTGAGTTCTGTTTGTGAATTGTTGGCAATTTGCTTGAATACGTGTTTTGTTTTAGAGGGAAACGATTTACTGAGTTAATTTTTGTTCGGAAAAATTTATGACGCCGCGCTTGGGGAACTTTTGTTTATTTTAGAAGCGGCATCAATTAAAATGGCTATTTTTGACGGGGAGGGTTCTCATGCTTGAAGGACCGAATGCTTGAAAAATTTCAACCAATCAAAATCGCTAAGCATTCCTGTTGGCTAAATGCCTTTCTCACAAAATCGAAGTCGATATTAACAGAAAATATATTAAATCAGTGGAAAATAATCAAAAATGTTACAAATTGCGGGTTACAACCGCAATACTATTCAGATAATCATCAAGATTCATGAGGTCAAAATCATAAGAATTTTTCAGTCTTGAAAAATCATCTGCTTATTATCTAATCGGTCAATATTAACACTAATGGCCTGGAATTTTGACTTTTCAACTTCCGTCGATTTGAATTAATTTACTTGAGTGATTTGGGATGATTAAAAACAGGTGGCCAGTCAATAAGCAGAATGGTCTAAAAGCAGAATGGGTCCAAGAGCAGAAAAAAATCAGCTTTTAATAGCTAATCTGTAAATTAATTATCAGAAATGTCAATAATACCAAAGCAATGAACATTTTATGCATAATTTGAGTAATTCAATCAAGAACTTTTAAAAATAAATGTAATCAAAAAACTTAATGAAATTAGTCAATTCATGCATAATTTATTCGTTTTCTTGGTAGTTTTTGACGATTCTAACAATTATTTTATCAATTAGCTCGTATAAACCAATATAAGTCAAAATTTTTCTGTTTTTCTGCTCTTGGACCCATTCTGCACTTGGACCCTTCTGCTTATTGCTCCGCCTCCTTAAACTCAGTATTCAAGCTATTTTTGGCACTGTTGCCCAACATTTTGATTTTCGGCACTGCTGTACGTCGGCACTGCCCTGGGGCAGCCATCTTAAAAATGTTGATAGAGATACTACCTTTATTTGCGTTATTTTTGGTAATTTTTCCGCTGACATCAGAGTTTATGAAAATTGGTTATATTAGCCATGCTTGGTTTCTCATTTATAGTTTGACGGCTGGTATGCAGTAGTGTAAGTCAGAAGTCGTCAATCTTGCAGGATTAAAGTCAAAAGCGGAATCATATTCTCTATCTCAAAAAGTCAATGCTCGATCTTAAACACTTCTTCTCTTTAAAAACGTCTTTTGAGAATCAAGAGCAACTTTTAAACAATTGTGCGTGGTCAAATTGAGCCTCAAAGAGCCCCCCTTTCCCCTGTTCAACAGGACGACATTTTTGGTGCTTCATCGTAATTACAAAACTCAATAGTCTGATTGTGTTGTAGGTTCCACATACAAAAGACTGACTGATGTGTCCAAGTCCAGCAGTAAGGTGCCCACTCTGAAGGACCTCAACTTCATTAACGACTTCAAAGGCTTCAGGATCCTCCTCGAGTCAGACGTCTACAACGCACTCATCAACAGACTAGAAAACGACACACTGGTTAGTTCAATCTTCGGTCTGATTGACTGCGTCATTAATTCTTCGCTCCACCTTCTATTTGTGCAGTTTTTGACAATAATAAGCCTCTTGACCGAAGATTACGTAACATTAGTTCAATTCACTTCAGTTAGAGCGACAACTCAGATCTATAAGTCTTTTACAAATTTGATGAAGTTTCTTTATAAATTTGATGGAATTTTTTGTCTTTGTAAAGCTATCCGAAGATCAACAACACCACTGAACTGTTGGTCATTACTTATGACCGGTTATTCAGTTAATAAACTACTAGCCGTTTTTGTAACAAAATGGTTTGATAAACCCGATCACTGATGAGAATTTTAACATCATCCCCCCTTAACGGCTTCGAGGGGAGGATGTTAACTTGGTCCGATAATTGAGTGTGATTATATTCTGGGTTTTTAAAATGTTTTTTTTTGTTCAGATGTTGGAGAGTTTTCAAATCATGGACTACAGTTTCCTCATGGCCATCGAAGAAGTCGACGAAGAGGTAAGTTCTCAAGACTTTTTTATATTTAAAGCGGACTGGCTCAATAAAGCTCAAAATATCGAATTTTCCTTTTCAAGCTTTAACATATTATGAATGAGTCGAGTCGACTTGTGATTGAGTCGAGTCTTAAGCAGTCAGGTTACGGGGGTAACGTCAACTTCATGCATTTATAAAGATAGTAATACTATTTTTGGTATGAAATTGCTGGTGAATAATGCCGGTTTGCGCGAGTGGTTCTGGTTGTATAGTGGGATTTGAAACCACAATTACAAGCGTGAAAAGCTTAAGTCTTGACCAATTAGACTATATACGAAGTAACCACTATGCTTAGCCGGGTGCCGGACATCAAGCCGACGGGACTTCAAGGCGAATCGTAAAAATAGGGACTTCAAGCCGAATAATTCCTTATAAACTCGTGAAATATGATTAATTTGAAAACTTTTTTGAAGAATTTCTGAAGTTCATGATCTTTCTTCACAAGTTATCGGCTTTTCATAAAATTTAAGCCTCCAAATGATGTTTCGGAAAGTTGAAAAGTAAAACATGGTTGAAGGCATTTTTCATATTCATAATTTCATTTTTATAATCGCCTGCCACTTGATTAGCTTGAAAGCCACAACTTTATATTAAAAGTACCATGGATCAACGTTAATATTAGAACAAGAGTAACGTCATTGGCTTAATATTGTGTTGTAAGGTGGCCAGTCAATGAGCAGAATTGCTAAGAGCAGAAAGGGTCCGAGAGTAGAAAAACAGACAAATTGAACTATACGGTCTCAAAGATAAAACAAAGGATGTAATCGTCAGTTATACTAATGAAATGAAAAATTTATACACTAATGAGGATTTATTCACTTCAAGTTTTTTTTATTGATTTTTCTGCACTTAGACAATTATGCTTATTGCTCTGCCTCCGTGTTGTTATAAAACTAAATGGTAGTTTGCTTCAAATGGTGATCGATTTCGGATTTACTAAATTGAATTATGGACAGTGACGGTATTGAGGTATCTGCAGCGATATGAAAGTATTCAATTAAATAAATTTAATTTCGTGTGATTTGTTTCAGAAAGACCGAGTGGCGACATTGAGACCGGGTCAAGACAATGTTCCATCCTTCTATCAATATAGTGAAATCTTGAACCTGCCTATGCTGTTAGTTTCTCGAAAAAATTTTACGCCATGTTTTGCTGGATGGCTTTTCTGTCCCTTTTTGGGCTGGTTTTAAAAGTTTTTTTCGGATCTACTTAGCAATCGCCCTCCCTTTGGTATCCACCAAAGAATTTCCACCCCTGTGAATAAAACATTTAATTAACACTAGAGCGTTCTGTTTAAAATTCGAATTTTGCTGCTGTGTGACAACTTAACTATTGCCCCCTTTCTTGAAAGGGGAGGCGACTGTTAAGTAGATCAGTTTTTTTCCACTGTTTTCGGCGTTTTGACTGTTGATTTCTTTTCAGGGGCAGTATTAAAATCATTTTGCAAGCTACGCTCAAAACAACCTCCCCGAAAATATAAATTGAAGTTGCGAGGTGTCTTTTCGGCTATACCCTCCCTTCATAATGAAAAATCAAATCAAAATTTTTGTTGCAAAATTAGATCGATATTACTTACAAATGCTGCCTATCAATACGAGGCAGGCCAAAGGAAGCAATTAAATCTAATTTACTACCAAAATGTTCTTTTTTCTTGTCTGCTTGCCGTTTTCTTCATATAAATTTCATAAATCTGAGTTCAAATGCATTCTGAAATGCCGTTTGGTTCCCATTTTTGCAGTTTTTGTATTGATTCACGGCTCTTGATATCTGTCTTATGATTCTTAGTAATATCGATTGAATTTTGTTATTGAGCTTGCGAGCGCAATGTGTTTTTACGAACCTTCTTTTTTTGCAACCGTACTCGCAAATAAAAAAGCTCACTTGTTGGCACCTTTGCTATAATCACGATCTGTAGCTTTGAAAATTTCATAGAATCGGTTCTTTTTTTGTGGCTAGTGTTTGTGAAAAATTAAGCGTCCGTGACTAAGTGGTTAGTGCGTTAGACTAAAAATCTCTAGGTCGCAGGATTAAATGCGACACGTAGCCGAATTTTGACTAATTTGAGGCTTATTTCTACTTTTTGCATTTTCTAGTGCTGCTTTTTGTCGTGTTCTGGCTGGTGTATGAGAAGCGCAGCTTCGCCTCTGTTGTTTTCTTATTTTTTGTTTTCATTATTTAGGGTGGTATAAGCGAAAAGACCCATTGCGAGATATGGATTCAATTTCTTGAGTTCTCAGCGGAATGGGAAATTTACATCCCTCAATTCTGCCTTTCTCGTATTTGGTCAGCTTAACGAAAGTTTTCTAATCCTAAAAGGATATCTCATGTGTTCTATGAAAAATTGAGTCAAGTTCTCTTGTTGAACGTTGCTTTTTGCACAAATGGCTGTTAGATAGTGGAGAGCGCAAAGTGCTGTTAGATATTTTTGATCTTGCGCATTTTTTGTCGGAGGTATTTGATTTTTTTTTCTAAATTATCCAAGTGCTCCGGCTACCAAACCTAAAATGAGCTTTGGAATTAGTTACTTTTTCACCAAAATCATCAGTCTGGCGGGGTTGAGTGATATATTGTTTTAAAGCTTTTCACTTGCCATTTGAGCTGTGGTTGACAATTCCCGAAAGTTTAATTGTAGACAAGATATGACAAGTCTTATTTAGAAAGATTCGATTGTAAAGTGTCAATGAATGTACAGGGTATCCAAAATCTGACACCTTTGAAAAGGCAGTCATTTCTAATTCAATTAACGTATGAATCTGATTTTTCTCAGGATGACAGCTCCGATGTGGACTTTTGATAATTCATGAACAAATATTTTTCCATCGCGAAAAAAATCGGAGCTCTACCAAATTAATCAAAAGTGTTGAAAATTTCTGTCGCTTGGTCACACGGGATCAAATTTTATCAGCTACTGCTTCAGTCCGCGAATGAATGACATGCCGTGGTCGAGTGGGTTAGGCACATGTCTCTCAACACGAGGGTCATGCGTTCGAATCCCGCTTCGGTCACGGCTGGAGGGGTCCCAGTGTCATCCGCCTCCTCAAGGTGGGACCGGCTGCGGCGAAATGGATGACATCTCCCCCTCCCCCATGGTTGGTCCTGCACTGAGCAGGCCGGGGGCAAATAAAAAAAAATGAATGACATAATGTCATCAATTTGGTTGGAAACCTTTCCAGCATCTCTTAAAATGGCAATTTTTCGTGAATTAACAAATGATCACATCTCTTCTATGAGGTGCTAAATTTTTTATGGTGCTACGTCAATTCACTAGAAGTGACAACATTTTCAAACGTGTCATAGGGGTTGGGTCACCCTATAGTTAAGACCCTTATTTGAAAATTGATCGCGCCAAATTTAATCTTCTGCGGTTTGACTCGAATTCAATTCAAATTCATTTGCTAAAAGAAAGGCAAATAACGTTCCAATAACGAAAGCAGAATTTTTTTCAAATAGGGTTTTTGCTATAAAAAAAATCGAAGTTAAATTGGTTTTGAAATTCACAGAGATTGACGGTCATACTTTTATTTATGAAACTAAGTTTTTTCAAAAAAAAGTCAGTCGTTCCTTGAGTTCTTTGACACTTTACTATGTCTGAAGGCTATAGTTTATTCTTTTTAAAATGTTAATCATTGAATCTGTTTTTAAATCATTACTGTCTTGGATTTTTCCTTGTTTTTTCCACGCTCAATTTTGTGGTGGTTTGACTTTAATACTCATTTCAAATTTATTTTCTAAGTAAAAGGCCTACTGTCTGATAACAGAAGTGCAAATGGCGACAAAAAACTTTATTCTTACAATTATGAGCGCGCAATAGAAACTTATTTATTGATCTGGTTTTCTCAATATGAGCTAGTCTCATTCAAGATAGCTTTATTAAAATTCCGGAAGTTTCTGATGATTTACAATTTTTTTTGAATCTCAAAAGTTGAAAATATTCATCAAAGTTAGTACTTTCTCCTGTTATGTCTGAGCTCATCAGCGCATCCAACTGATGGTTGGATATGTTTCGAAAAAATTACGCATTTGTATAGTGCGAATTAGTTTTTCTGACATAAGTTGCAAATCGTTAAATTTCTGAGTTCCGTTTTTTTTTGCATAGAAACGAGCAGAAAAGCAAAATATATGCCGAGGATTTAAAAACGGGCTGTAAGGATTTTACTTTGAACTATTTTCTGGCCATGTTTAACGGGTTTTTTTGAACCGTCTGAAAGAAATTGATATCCTGAGCTTGAATATAAAAGATTTTTTTTCCTCTGAGCTTTTTCTTAAACTTATAGGTGTCTGAAAGTTGGAGGTTTTCTGTTAATATGTAGCGTGAGCTGTATTTTAATTGACTCAGAAATCATTTTAATTGATTCGAGGCAAGGTTTTTGGTCCTGTTAGTTTTTGGATATGTTGAAGTCCGAAAAGGTGTTCGGATATACTAGACGAGAAGCTTATCCGTTTGTACGTTAGAAGACGGGTGTAAGGATGGGTTTTCAGGGGGGAAAATGTTGGTTTTTAAGAGTCGATGAACGTAGTTCAGACTCTTTTATAGGTAGGGATAGTTTTTTTCTCGTTTTTTAGGAAAGGTTATAAATTTTTCAGGCTCAAATTGAGTTAACAGCAAAAGTTTAAAAGTCACAAGAAACGTGATCGACTTCTAGTTTAGAAAGTGGAATTTAATTTTCAGACTTTTCAGCGGAATAAAAAATTATTTATTGATTCATGTTTCTCAAATTGGGTTAATTTCATTAAAAAGTGTCAATCATGATTTTTTCAGAAATTCAAAGAGCTTTACGGTCATCTATGTTTTTTTGTAATTCAAAAGTTGAGATTTTTTCAAAAAATAAGTCATTTTTTCTGTTTTTTGGCGTTCATTGACTCTTTTCCAACTGTCTGTTGGCTGCTCTGTTTGTTTGTTTTTTTTTCTCCGAAAAGTTGTTCGATCTCAGTTTTTATATTTTTGTGGTGTGATTTTTGATTTGTTTTTCTTTAACAAATGAGATATAGTTAAAGCATTCCAATATCAAATGGCGTGAAGGAGTTTTAAAAGAGGAATTTTGTTTCGGTCACTTCACGAAGTGAAAGCAGGAACTATGGCATAAGGCATTTTTTAAACAGATTTTACTTCAAAGAATTCTCAGAGGGGATCAACTTTTTGGCCTAGGATTCCATAACCTAGTTCTGAAAAGGTTGCTCAGTGTCGGAATAATTTTTCGATTTTAATACAAAATTTAGTGACACTGACAACTCAATTTTGATGAAACTCATTTTATTTGTACTCTGCGTTTTTTTTAAGTGCAATTAATTCTCTTTTTGTAGTGTTGGTTTTCTTAAAGCATGGTGGTCGGAACTTTCTATACTAATTCCGCAGCAATTTTCTATGTTTAAGATTTAATAATTCCCAGCAGATTATAAAAGTTGCGTATTGATCCAGTTTTCTCAAATTAGATTAATTTTTTCATGAAAGCGACTATCATAAGAGATTCTTGAAAATCTAACAGAGTTTTTCTCAAGTCCATTTAGCTTTACTCAACTCTCTAATGGCTGGTTTGATTGTTCTTTTTATCGCTTATTCAGATTCCGTCCTGCATAAATTGATTTGCGTATAAGTTGCCTTTCACATAGGTTGTTTGTTTTTTTTGGCAATTTTGAGGGACCAAAATAAGTAGTTTTGGAATCATTTTCAACTCAAAGCTCATTTGTCGCTGAGATTATCACCAAAAATATTTCGTAGACAATGGTGTTTGTAAGTACCATCATGGTGATTAGCTCGTGGTGCTTCTATCTCAGTTTCTACATTTGAATAACCACTTCGATTTAAAATAGAATCAGATTTTTCTTTTTCGCGAAGATTTTTATGTTTGGGCCATTCTGTAAGACAAGTTTTAATGAACTTTGAATCAATTGGTATTTATCTTTTTTACAACTGTTTACAATTAGTCTCTTGTAAAGGCTTTTCAAGAATCTATTTACTGGTTATAAGTTGAACGGCAAATCAGTATTTTTGGATGTTGGACTATTTAGTTCGTTCATGGATGTTGTTTTTCAGACGTCACCAAAAAGGAATTCCGGCCAAGAAGGAAGAAGATGGAAAGGGATTGAGATTATATGTGGGCATCATCGACATATTGCAGAAATACGTGTAAGTGGGGAGTAATTTATGACAGACAAGATGTCAAGACACACTTCACTTTATTAGGATGATAATGAGTTGGGCCTGTCTTTTCAAGGAAGTAGAAGTCATAATTCGATGAAAGCGAATAAGTTGGAATTTGGCTGTTTTTAGCCGCATTTGCTTTCACGAATATTTCGATGATTGAAAAAAAAGCATTGAAAAAAAATCATGCGCTCACAGTAAATTAGTTTCATTGAATCGTGCTGTGTTCTTTGAAATAAAGATAAAATATAACCTTTTCTTTTGTTTCCTGGTAAATATTTGGATGAATATCTTGAAAAATATGATTTTGGCTTACATATAATTTAATTTTAAACTACTTCTATTTAATTTTAAACTAAAATAAATTGAATACAGAATGGCGAATGATCTTGATCATTTTTGTTTATTAAATGTCAATAAGCGAAGTGAACACACTGATTTTAGTTGTGGTTTTTTCAAGAAAGTCGAAAACTTTGATCATGCTCAATATTGATTTAAAAATAAACGTTAACCATGCTTTCCGATAAGGAAATTCAAATTTCGCATTGCAAAATGCAAATGTTGCGAAAAATATGAATAAATTCCAATTTTGAAATCGGTTTTTCGTTGTTTTGGATTTCGAGCGGAATAAAAAACTTTCCGTTGACCCAGTTTCTTTCTCTAATTTGGTCAGTTTTAATAAAAAACCAACAATAAAAGTTTCTTGAAATTCAAAGAGCTTTACCCTGATTCCTTTTTTCTTCAAAATTTTGAAGGACGTGAGACTCACCATCGCGATGTCGCAGGTTCGAGTCCGACTTGTAGCAAAGTTTTGCTAATTCGAGGCTCAATACTACTGTTTCCTATTTCACTATGTAGAGCTGCTTTTTTTCGTTTTCGCGCTAGTGTTTGCAAAGAGCAGCTTTGGGCTATTTTTCCTTTTTCCCCACCTCGCATGAAGATAATTTGGATCAATTGAGCAATCCCCCCCCCCCGTAATGACCAATTGAGCTATCTCGCCCCAGCAAAAACGAATAAACTCTTCAAAAAGACGTCAGCAAACGGAAGTAGATGGATGTTTTGTTTATAGCACGCAATCATTTGACCGACTGAAGTTTTTTATATGAGTATCGAGAAAAATTTTGAAAAAAAAACTCGAAATTTATGAATTTTTTTTTGCAAATTTTTGTATATGCGACCATAGCCTCATCGAGGAAAGCGATTTACCAGGGTTGGTGCTCTAGCCTTGTATCTAAATAGCAAAAACGGTTCTCCGCAGCACCTTAATATTGTACGCAAAAGCTTTTTGTCATTTTAAGAAAGAAAAAAGTCGCTTTTTATGCCTGATTTATTGATTCTTTTTTCTATTTGAATGAAACTTAACTTTTGAGCTTTGCTATTGTAAATTTTGACTTTCCACAGTCGTTGGAAAATATGGTTCATGATTTCATGTCATTCAAACTATTTTCAAGTGGTTATAAACATGTCTCAAGTACCTATTGAGCTATCCCCCCCCCCCCCCCCCCCCACGCGAGAATGGGGGGGGGGGGGGGGGGGGAGATTGCTCACTTGATCCGATAATTTTTATGGTGTAGCGAGTAGTCTTACAAGGTGAGTGAGTATGAGGATCAAATATCTTTGTTATGACGTAGTTAGTCTGCATGTCAACTTTCGTAACAATCAGACTATAGGAACAAATTTTTTAATTGTAAAAACTTGCAGGTAGGGGGAAAATGAAAGAGAGCCCATGTGTGGTAGGATGAAATCGTTTTGTGTGGTAGGATGAAAAAGAAACTAGAGCACAGAGTGAAGGCAGTATTTCATGAAATCGTTTTGTGTGGTAGGATGAAAAAGAAACTAGAGCACAGAGTGAAGGCAGTATTTCTGGAGAGTCAAGACAACGAGGTGTCAGTCACTCATCCCACCAAATTCCAGAAAAGATTCATGAACTTCATGAAGAACACAGTGTTCAAAGAGGAAAAGACATATACCGGTGCCAGACCCTCTCACTTGTATACCCATACAAATCCCTATGCCCACCATTCGAATACAACCTACATGCCACATCACCAGACAAGTTCCATGACTTCCCACCATCCGAACGCAAATCACAACTCTCTCACAGGTAAATATGAATTCAAAAATTCAGTCCCAGCATTATGGCTAAGTGGTAAAGATGCGTGCTCAGCCATCAAATGATTGTGGGTTCAAAACGCTCGTACGTCGCAATTTTTGCTGTTTGCTTTTGTTAGCTTTAGTTTGTTTATTATGGCAAAGCTTAGATAATTGACATCCGGGTATTAATTAACTTCAGCAGAAACTGTTTATTTCGTTTTGCAGTGAGATCTAATTGCTTAGCGAAGCCATGAAATTATTTTGAAGGATAGTTCATGAGTTGTTTTTTGTGAAAGTCTTTTCCAGAGAAAGCATGGCTTTTAGAAAATAGATTTTTATCAATAATGTTATTTCTCCAATTTAGCTGGAACCCTTAAGCAGCCGGGTAGCAAGCCACAAGTGTTCGCCAGTTCATCCTCGGGATTGGGTTCAGATCTCAGTCCCAGTTCAGATCATTCGCCGAACCACCGCGGGTCTGTTGGATCCTCGGGACAACCATGTGGACCCGGAGCAGAGATGCCGCGAACTCCGACCCACCCCGTTACTAGTACATCGAACTCTAACAAAGCAGAATTCAGCTCAAGAAATACAGTAGTAGAGTCATCAACTTCAACTTCATATTATCGGGGAGGTAACCAAACAACGCCCAATGCAACATCCCGTAGTCGAGTAACGAACCAAATGACACAAGGGGCGAATGTTATTCACTCCACTCCGAGGAGTACATCGACACGGCTACACGACGATGTGGATTTTGATATTAGTAAGGCTAACACGAGTACTCCTCGCGTGACATCGACAATAGATGATGAGTCACCCGCATCCTATCGGAACATCAGGACTGCTTCTACTACAGCTCCAGTGCTGGCCAAACAGGAGTCACTCTCGGGGTTCAATAAAGAACTGTAAGTGGAAACAGGTCACTTTCAGAGGACCTCCAAAATATAGTTTATTGAACGGTTACTTGTCAGGCAGATTTACGTATACTGGGTATAGATGATATTTGTTTAAAAAAATAACTTATTTTTTAACTGATTTTTGATTATTAACTGGAAGTCAGTGATGCCATTTAAAAAAGTAAAAGTTAAAATTAAAAAAAATATAAAAATTGTTGGCATCATTTCAAATTTTTCCGTAATTATTTAATTCTTTCTGAAACTATTTAAGTTTTTCTTAAGAAATTTAAATTTTTGTTCTCTGTTTTTTACTAGTTTCCCTGCCATTCGGGGTTGAAGAACTGTAAGTGGAAACAGGTCACTTTCAGAAAACCTCCAAAGTATAATTTATAGATCGGTTTCTTGTCAGACAGATATACGTATAGTGGGTATGGTATAGATTTGTTTTTAAAAAATTTTAAACTAATTACTTTAATTTCTCAGGCAAAGCTTGTGTGATATTACGAACTCTCTTTTTCTTCCAAACTTCAATAACCAGCGACTAAGTATAGCCAATGCTAAGGATTTTAACGCAGACTATTATATTACAAATAGCACTTTAGCTTTAAGGCATCATGAATCTGTAGCGTAGAGGTAGGGAAGGAGACAGCAGCAAAATAAGGTTTTTCGAAACTTGGCAGTGTCAGATGTTTTTAATGAAATTTTTCGTATACTATTAAAATGCGTTCGCTCTACAAATTGAGGCATGTTACTTGGTAAGTTTCTTTTTTTGAAATTGACTGGCACTGCAAATGCGTTATAATTGGCGTGCGTCACTTATGAAATTTTCCAGACTCAAAGTTTCACCCATTCAGTTTTTCCCAGTAGCGTTATCGATCATATTTTTGCTTGTGTATGCGAAGTGCAACTTCCCCTCTGTGTATAATCTTGGGAACCAGTGATGTCCATTTTAAAGAAAAATTAAAAAATGGTTAAAGAAAATTATAAAAATCGTTGGCATCAATTTAAATTTTTCTGAAACGATTTAAATTTTTCTTTAGCAATTTAAGTTTTTCCTAAGTCTGTTTCAAGTAGTTTTTGTGAATTTTTGGGCTTTTTTCAAAATTTTAAAAAAATATGTTGAATGCATTTTTCGGGTATATCTATTTGCTTTTTCCGCTAAACTTTTGCTTTTTCCGAGGAACTGTGAAACTAATTGAAATTACTAAACTGTGTACTTTGGCTTCGGATCGAATACCGCCCGAGAAAAATTAATTTTTGAGTGGGCTCATAATGGACATCACTGGTGGGAGCTAATATGCCAATGACTTGAGCTGAATTGTTTTTAGGAAAAGTCTCAAATTTGATTTTTCACGTTTTGACTTTTGATTTCTTTTCAAGTTCAATTCATTGAGTTTTTGAAATGAAGGCAAGCTCCACTATCGAACAGCAAAAGAGTAGAGGTCGCAAAAAACGCGATCGACTTCTAGTTTGTTTCGAAAATGCAATCTAATTTTCAGAAGACAAAGGTTAAGCCTGTTTATCCACAAGGGAAATTATCAACATACGAGCTGTTCAGCTCTTCAGGGAGAGCCGCTGCTGTGCCCCTGTTTAAGTATTACTACGTTTCAGCGACGACAGTTACAATGAGACGCACAATGCTTCTAAGTTTGGCCCCCGAGCCACTCCTATGGCTGCAAAATCCAAACATCACCCAAGTGCACAACCATCCCGTGCAACCATAAACGGCTCAGCTGCACCCATAGTGGCAAACTACGAGAGCTCGGTTCGTACTTAGTTAAACAGTTCATAAGTAGGATGCGAATTAAAAATAGTAGATTGGTGACAATTTGTACTGACCAACAAATGATCGCAGCGATACAAACAAGTGTTAAAACAGCTAAAGATAAAATGCTGCTTTGTTTTTGTTGGTGTAAAAAATCACTCGAATGCTTGCTATATTACAGTAGATAATTAACAGTTCGTTCATTTCGACAGGTTTGAAACGATTGTCGCAAAAGAGGTATATGTTTCTATGGCTCAAGTTCTCTTTCCGCTATAAACAATAAACCACTCGGAGACAGCTTCTATATTGATATGTCGGGTCATTTAGTTTTACTACAATGCTAACTAGTTTTTAAACCAAGAATACCATCGTTGCAAACTGTTTTGATCATGCTTGCGAAATGCTAGTCAAGTTTTGACTTTGCTCATGTCAAACAGATTAACCCATCCGTTATATTTTTGAGAAATATTCAATCATTTCCAAACTAAATATGGTAGCCAAACTTATGAAGCTAGTCGGTTGAATTGGTGTCATTTTGGGTATCAATTTCTCTTATTGAATTCATGGTATCGGTATAATCTTCCTTTTTAAGGCTGTTTGATTTATCTGATGAGGATTCAATAAATGAATATTGAATTTGCTAATCTTAAATGCGGGGATAGTTACTATAAAAGAAGCTTTCAAAAACGTTTCGCACTCTTTCGAGTTCAGATAGTGTGTTTGTAATCTTTTCATTTGGTTTGTTTAATGCAAATTATTGCAATGGCGATGCTTTATAAAACGGATTTCTTTTGCTATATTCGGCTTAAAACTACTTGATCGATATGTCAAAAATGTCTAATTCAAAATGGGCAAGTGAAATTAAGAAGAACACTCATTCTTGAGTCTTCAGTGCTAATAGTCTTAAGATTGATTGATTGAGAGTCACTGGACCTAAAGAAGACTCTTATATAGGTCTTGATTTTTTTGGTTTTTTTTTTCAGGAAAAAGTTTTTAACGCTCAATTTTGATTTTTCGCGGTTGGACATGTGATTTTTTTTAAGTTAGTTGCATTTCATTTGTTAAAATGAAGGCAAACTTCACTATCGAACAGCAAAAAAGTGAAGGTCACGAAAAACGTGATAGACTTCTAATTTTGAAAATGGAAGTTAATTATCCGTTTTCCTGCAAAACAAAAGTTTACCTATTGATCTAGTTTTCTCAAACTGGGTTAATTTTACCAAAAAAGTGTCCATCATAAATTGTTCTACAAATTCAAAGAGTGTTAAGGCCATCTATTTTTATCCAAATTCAAAAGTTGAAGATTTTTGAAAAATAAAGTCGTTTTTTTTTTATTTCCTTGCGTTCATTGCTCTTTTCCAACTCAGTTGGCTAGGTTTTAAAGTTCCTATGTGAAAATCAAGGGGTCTAGGACCCAGGAATGTTAACAAGGGACTTTTTAATGTGAAATGCAAACGTCGTGATGCCTAAACTGGCAAACGCTTGTGTTATGTGATTTCTTTTTTCCAATCTAGGTATCATAATTTAGTGCTGAACAAGCATTTCTACAGCCGTGCCAGCCTTACATTTTAATTTTATAGATTTTTTGGTGTCCATGATATGATAAGCAAGGTGTCATGTTGGGATTGTGGAGACATTTGACTGTCGGTTGGCTGGGCGAAAATTCGTTACTGGCGACGATTCGTATCAATGTTTTATTTGCTGCTCAACAATTGAAAGAAACAATTGAAAGCTTAACTAACATAAGATAAGACAAAGAAGTCAGAAATTAGTAACATAGTATTAGTTATTTTGATCTGTTAGTTTTTTTAGTTTTTAGACAATTTTTACTGAGCTTTTTCGTATTTCGCTGTCTGTGAAGCCTTCTTTCTGGATCTTAATAGAAAATAGTGCGGCCGGCTGGAATAATCAACGTGTTGCTCCTCCTGATTTAGTGTAAAAGATTGAAGTGATTTTCACTTATTATAGGTTTTGATTTTTTCTTTTTTAGGTGAAAGTCTGAAAATGCGCTCGCGGACTAAATCCCCCAGGATAAAATCCCACCGGATATAATCCCACAGGACTAAATCCCCCATAGGACTGAATCCCCCTAGGACAAAATCCCCCATATTTTATTCACTATGATGGAAATCAAACTGTACACATTATATAATTTCATGTTTCTATTGATTCCATTTTGAACTGACTTCCATTTATACATGCATCGCCATTTTGACGTGACTTTTTAGCAACTTTAAGATTCCAGCATTCAGTTGACTTCCTATAAGAATGAGCTTCGATTGCAAAAATTAATAAGCCACGTGGCACAGTCAGTACGACAAGTGAATGGAAAACAATGTTGATTCCTTCAGCGTGAGTTCGAATCCCAATTATGACATTTTGTGCAATCAATGTAAAGGTCTGTTAAATTTACCCCTAGGGGTAAAAAATCCCGCGCTTCCACTAAGGTGGGGGTGCGGGATGGTGTGAAAGGAAGTCCCCGATTCCTAGAAAACCATCTTCTTTATTATGTCAAAATTTCAGACCTCTAGGATCAAGGAATGTTGATTTTGGGGGGGTCCGAAATTTTGAACATGATTTTGAACTTAATTTAACGTTAATTTATGTTGGCTGATAAACAAATTAACACCCGATATAAGTCTTTAATTAGTCTTTAATCTATCTACTTCTTTTCTGTTAATTATCTTTCATCTTTTAATTCAAGTTTTAGTGTCGCTGTTTTGTTGAATTCGAATGTGGGGGATTTTAGACTAGAAACTGGGGGATTTTGTCCTAGGGGGATTTGGTCCTACGGGGGATTTAGTCCTGAGGGATTATATCCGGTGGGATTTTATCCTGGGGGATTTTATCCTGGGGGATTTAGTCCTAGACCCCTGAAAATGCTTTAATGACTAAAGAGGTGCATTCATACATAATAATGCATTTATGAATTCACTTCAGTATATATGCGCGTTTTGAGTTGGTAGTATGTTAAATTGCGCGCTCTAAGTAAGAAAGCGGAAACTGAACAAAAAAGTGATTGATTTTTAGTTTAGTAAGTGGTTTTTAGTTTTAAGATGTCTCTTTGGAATAAAAATTTTACCCATTGATCCAGCTTTCTGAAATTGGGTTAATTTTATCAAAAAAATTAGTCAGTCACAGTTGTTCTTGAACTTTAAAGAGCTTCAACCAGATGTATTTTTTCTTCGAAATTGGGTACTTGTCAATCGTTTTTTTTTTCGTTTACTTGTTCTTTACAATGTTCCAACTTTCTGTTGGCTATGTTGAAAGCTGTTACTCCTAATTTATTCTTTTTAAAACAAGTCATGTGGAAAATGGTAAAACTACGTTGGTATATGAAAGAACAAATTCTTTCAGAGCAGAACTTCGTTGCATAAAATTGACGAAGCTCAAATGGACCATCTGTCAGCTCATCGTAAGGCATCTTATAATGCGGAAGACAGTGCTAAACTTCCCAGCGCCCATAGAACAACTAATTACAAAACAGTCAACAACTCTGTCATTTGGCTGTAGTGTCTGAGTTAATAAGCACTACTGGAATCGTGATGACCAATGGTGGGTAGATGCGAGAATGTGGGGTTTGTGTTATTGTTTTTGTGCTTGTCTGTGTATGACAAAAAGTGTTCTTCATTTTCCTGGGTTTTCTCTTGACATTCAATAGTCCTTTCTCTCCACGTTTTGTGTGAATTTTGAATGTGAGCTCTCCTCAGAATATCCTTGATTTTGACCAAAGCAAAAATATGTGATCTTTGGTACTCTAGGTTCAACTTATGAACAGCAGTGAATTTGTCGGAGAACCTCATACTAGTGATGAAATACATACGTGACCGTGAGAATTAAATCTTAGGCTAAGTGTGCTCGGGTAATTTTAATACATTATAAGTTGGGATTAAGAGAAATAGTGAGATCGTTTTTGGTATCATATCTTAAATCGATGGTGTTGACAGATCCGTTTCCTTAATCATTTAGGATCGAATCGGCTATCTGGGCATACATTTTTTCCCAGTTACTCTGGCGAATTCAGCTTGGACTCTCATATCCTTAAGTGTATCCTATATTCAACGAATGTTTTCAACACACTGTACCTATTATGTCTTTTTTATCAAATACCTTTAATTGCAGAAAGTTCCAACAGAAAAAAGAAAGCAAGAAATTTTCGTATGTGCCTAATATCTCCCTAGTTAAAGCCAATCTAGAGGAGCTGATGTGATGTGGCTAATAATGTTCAATATAAAGAATGCAGATTATTGCTGGCGTCGAACCACTAGCCTCTGGATTGAGAGGCGAAGCGAAGCCACTTCACCTCAGTTTCATTTACTCTTAACAGATGTCTATTGGAACTTTTTGTCAAAAACTAACTTTTTGGAAGAATATTTCTTCACCTAATTGTTTGTTTAGAACGGAGATGCTGCCAACCACAATGTAACCGATGTCAATCAAGTAGAACTTAACGTGATGCAGTGTAATGTGTTGGAGACGACGCCTGAAGTTGAGGAGAGTGATTTTTCATTTCAACCGGAGCAAGACTTCAATCAAAACCACGCTCAACTACCATCACAGGCTCCTGTTCAATTGATGCATGAAGATTGTCTCTGATATAGCTGGTCAAAAAACTAGACGAGCAGCAAATAGTTGTGGCTATTTGTCAAGTGTTTCTATGTAGCGAAAAGTGAGACTTTCCATCGGCCATAATTTGCGCCCTGAACCGCAATTGGTTTTATGCTGATTTTTTTCCACAGTTCATCGCCTTATTTCCATCTTGCTGAAGTGCGATTTTGATCGTTAATCCGGGTCGAAGTTTTCACTTGGTCCATGTCTGGTTTTTACTTGCGAATAGCAATTGTTTTGTTAAAGTTCTATTTAGAACAGTAAATTGTAATTGAGCTGATGTTTGTTGATTTGGTCGCTGGCTGTACATGCTTTCCAGAGTGCACACCAAATGTTATTGGAGTAAATCAGATGTATCTGCATGCATATCGAATAGCCCTTAGCCCTAATTACAATGTTTTATCAAATTGAGACCTACCACGAAACGTTCTAGAATTGTACAATATTAATACACTTATTGCTCTCGACTTTTATCGAAGATTTTTCTTGCGAATTTAGAATAACTTTGGTTTAACTTATATCTTACGACCAGTATACTTATGACCAATTCAGGGGGTCTATTAAAAGTTTTCGAACGGAGTCATTTTCGCGGTTTCCCAAAATCTGTCTTGTTTGACACTCTCACACCTAGAAGTAGTCAAAACAGTATTCAGAAAAAAAAGAAGGTTATTTGGCTACAAATAAATAACGTTGAGTATTATTAGATAAGTGACTGATTTTGGTGGCTATGTGCTCAAACTATATCCGCCCTTGCAATCATAAATATTAAATAGCAAGAGGTTGAAGCTTTGGGGAATCTATTCAATTTAAGCTAAATTCGCAAGTGAGCATATTTTTAGTGTTTTTTTTTGTAGAAAATTCTAGAATTACTGACTAATCAAATTTATTGTTATCTTTCGTTCTCTAAACAGTGTCTAGTGGTTTCCAAATGATCACATGTGATGTCGTTAATGTTCTATGTTTCCCTATGTTGTTCAATGTATTTCCAGTTGTAGAGCCCACATGCAGCCCACAGAAGAAGCAGATTCTTTTTCACTCTCTCTGTTTTGGTTGCTCAATTTAACCATTTCCAAAAATCAAATTTGTGCTAGAGTCTAACGATACAATCTGCTGTTTCAACTTCAACTTTATCTTCTCATTTAAAATTATTGATGATTACGTACTAAAAACTAATTTAATAATTCAATTTTCAGTCAGAGTAGTTTTACATTGCAATTGCGATGATATATCTGCATATAATATTTATTGCTAGTCGCTATTCCCATATTCAATTCATATTTTTCTACCCAAGTTTTCAATACATACAGACGTTAATGGAATTGCGAGCTTGCGTTGCGAGAAAAATTTTTCGGAAAGACTTTCAAATCAAACAGTTAATTTTTTGGGGCAGTTAATATTGAATATTTTTCAAGAAATGTTCTGACCACTAAAAATTGGGTTGTGGTGTAAAGTTTTTTTATTTTAAAATGTCAAGAAAATCGATATAAAAAGATGAGGCCGAGTAAAATATCATCCTAAAGCCGGTACCGTCTACTCAGTTCAAGGTGACATGAAGCATTATGAAACATTCGCAAAAATTGTTTTGATTTTCTCATTTATAGATAAATTTATGCGTAGTAATTTTTGGTTTCGTAAGGTTAAAATATGGAGCTTGTGCTCGGTTATTACGCAACATTGTTTTCATGCAGATGAAGTAAATATTTGTATTTTCTCTTTAAAGCGAATTTTTTTTACTCGAATCACGCAGCAACTTCTGTTCAAATGTTCGCGAAATTTTTGCTCGAAGAGTGCGAAGGAACTTTTAATGCTTTTTCTTCTCCCCCCTCACCTCACATAAGTATCAATTTTATGCAGTAATGAGGGGTTTTACAAGGTTGAGTATCAGGACAAAATATGCTTCCTGTCTTGGCCTGATTAGTTCAAAAGCTACAAAGCAAAGGAACTTTTAAATATTTTTCCTCCCCCCTCCTACATCACATTAGCATCGATTTTTAAGATTAATGGACGTATTGAAGACTCTTATACTGATTTTTTTTTTTTCAGGAAAAAGTCTCTAATAACTACAGATGTGCATTCATACCTATTGATGAATGCACTTAGGTATATATGCACTTTTTGAGTTTAATTGAAATTCATCTGCTGAAAGTAACGTAAATAGCACTCTCCAAATACGAACGTGGAAATGGTGCAAAAAATGTGAATGATTTAGTTTCGAAAGTGGAATTTAATTTTTAGATTTCCAGCGGAATAAAAACTTTACCTGTTGATCCGGTTTTCCCAAGTTGGCTTAATGTTATCAAAAAGGTGCCAGTCGTAAATCGTTCTAGAAATTCAAAGAGCTTAAAGGGCATCTATTTTTTTCTTTGAAATTTGAAAGTTGAGATTTTTTAAAGAAAGTCAGTGTTTTTTGTTAAAGTTTACTTGCGTTCATTACTCTTTTCCAATTTTCGATTGGCTATGTCATAGAAAAATGAGAGTTTTAACAGTGCTGAGTATCAGCACCAAATATCTTCATTAGTCCACATGCCATTTTTTGTAACGATCGGACAATGTGAACTTAATATTACTTATCAAAATTCGAATGGGGGAGCCGAACTTTGAATTGGGCTAGTTTTTTTTTCCAACCAATTTTGCCTATTTCAAAGAAAGATCCTACCAATCATATTCAAGCCCTTTTGGTCGATGTTCGGATCGTTAAAAAAAAGGTAAGTTCAGTGTCGCGAAAAACTTGTCCGAATTTTTCCGTTTTTCAGACTAAATTAGACGAATCTGGCTTTCCAAATGTAGCGTTAATTTGATTATAGTTAACGATAGGTCTTGCATTTTGTCTGAACTCAATGGCCCTTTCTATCAGAAGAAAATAACGGGGAAATTCAGACAAAAGTTTTTTGTTATATCACTTGAAAACAATTTTTGTATTTCAGTTAGTCGGAAATTTCTGTGGCACTTGCACACCTACCGACTTCTTGTTTCAGGCTTAAGATTTTTTTCAATCTAGAAATTCGTTCACGCTTTTTTTCTATCTCGTGTCTTACGACTACCCCTCCGACTTTTTCCTGTCCCATTTTACGTACCTCAAAGAAAGCTCGCAGCCAAGTGTCGTATCAACTAAAAATTAACTTACTGATATGATTTATTCTATGCCATAGCGCTCCTTCACACTTTTGTGTGTATCAGAAGAGCAAATGATCATAAAGTCAAAGCTTCTGTCGTTTGTAGGCAAAGTAATTGAATGATGAAAAGTAGGCGGGGTTGAATTCATGATTATGATGTGTTGTTTTCATACAGCATGTTTTCTTTTTCAATCGTTTGTTCCACTTTTCTCTTGAATTTTTTGTTTCGTCGCTTGTGCATGCTGTTAAATTTTTCTCTTCAGTTTTCGATCATTGCTTGTGTAGGCAAAGCGCAGCTTCGGTTCCGGTGAAACTAGGCATATTAAAAATGATAAAAGTTGTTCGTTTTTAAATTTTTTGTTCCAATTATGATCTGCTGGTTCAACTGCTTGTTTCCCAGAAATGCTATGACCAGTATCGAAGACCTTATTCCTTTGAGAAAGGACTACAAACCACCCGCTGAAGTGGAAGTAGTCAAATTCGAAGACCCCGAGAAAAAGTTACGAAACACGAAAAGGAAATTAGCGGAAGAGAATGAAAAAGTTAACGCTTTACAACCGAAGCCAGGAAAGGAGGTTAAATCGCTGAAATATAGCAAGCAGTTGACAAGAGAGTTAAACTCGATGAATTTCGAAATCCAGAGATTCACTACGCAATCTCTAAATAGGAAAGAGCGCCTAGAAGCAGAACGAAAACAGTTGATTAAACTGGGCGCGGAGCCACCGAAAAAGAAAAATATTAACTACAAAGAGCTGATGGCACAGCGGAAAGAGGAACGTGACAAGTATAAAGAAGAACGTGAAATAGCTCGGCTACAGGGCATAGTTTTACCCAAAGACCCTCCTAAATTGACAGGTGGTAAAAAGAAAAGCAAAAATGAAAGAGCGAAAGAGTTATTTGGAAGTGAGAAGTTTGAAAACGCAAGTGATGGGCAGATGGGTTCATACCGAAAAGGATTCCAGGTTTTGTCTTCATCTGATTTGAAGAGAGTGAAAACTAGCAAGTCTTTAAAACTTTAAATTGCAAGTACATAGTTAAGCATGGCCAGTTTTACACGATGAGTTTGAAAGTCAGGTATTCAATTTGTTTTTATTAAGGAGGAAAGTTCAAGTTTTGTAAATGTAATTGATTGGCAATGAACCAGGTGGCGACACGTATTTGGTCATTTTTTCAGGAAAAGTCCAAATTTGATCATACTCCAATTGGGTTTTTCGTGATTGCTTAATGTTCAATTCAAATTCATTTGGTTTAAGGACGGCAAATTATGCTCTCCAATCAAAAAAGCGTAAGAAATACCAATAGTTTTTAGTTTCGAAAGAGGCTTTTACTTTAAAGATTTACCAGCTGCGGTCAAAGTGCCATTCCTTGAAGAAATTTGAAATTCGAAGAGAAACGCGATGTAAGGTCGCATTTACATTTACTTTTTTCAGCTTGTTTAAAATTGGTTTCCGGTCAAAACTGAAATGTCAGGTTTTTTGCTCAAGTTTTGTCGGCTCAGCGCACATTACGGATTTTTCGTGTGCTGTAAGCAAGTATTATGGTAGTTGCAAGTGTTGTTCATTGTAAATTCAGGGGGTACTTGAAACTTGAAAATTTTTATAATTTTTTTTCAGCTTCTGGTGTGTGCTTAAAAATTGTCGGCTTTGTTTCTAATGATAATTTAGAATGCAAATGTCTTACTTGTTATCTTTTCCTTGAATTCCTGTTTGATAAAAACAATTTTGATCAAAATGTTCGAGATGGATTTTTTATTCTGCCAAACTTTTACTTTTTTTATCAAAAACTAGTCTACGGACTTTCAAAAAAGAGATAGCACTGAAAAGACAGCCTACTCCCCTGTGTGCCTGTATAGTTTTAGTCGCTTCTTACTTAACGTCGCTGTCTAGAGCTTTCGAAAAAATCTCATTGGGACCCATTTATTTTTTTTACCGTTTTCTCTAAAACAATGGTAGACGGCACAAATATTACAATGTTAGACGGTTTTAGAGTCCTTGGATTGGTTATAGGAACACCATCAGCATGCGATAAATACATGAAAAGCGAAATTGAAATGACAACTACCCTAACTGAAAAGTTTTCCAAAATAGCTAAAGCATCACCACGAAATGCATACTCCTGCTACATAAAGGGAGCTCAAAATAAATTAAGCTTTCTAACCAGAACAACCCCGGAAGCATAAAAGAAAATGGATGAAACTGAGAAAAACGTAGGACAGCAGCTACTTCCTAGTATTACTGGTAAAAACCATTTAACCCATGAAGATCGCAGCCTTTTTGCACTACCACTAAAACTGGGAGGATTAGACCTCCTCAGTAACACGGACTTTTCCAGAAATTTTGAGTGGTCACGAGCCATTTGTGATCCGTTAGAAAATAGTGATCCAGAAATAAGGAAACGGAACAAACTCTGATGAATAGAAACATCAAAACTGAGAGACAGAGCATCTCAGAGCATCTGAGATATGGATAGGAACCACCAAACACTCCTTATACATGCCCATGTGGACAACCGTTCACACTGAGCCACTCTCTACACTGTCCCAAAGGTGGATACACTCACCTAAAACATAATGAAATTCGCGATACCTTTTCGACACTCCTAGACGAAGTATGCCATGATGTTGAAAATGAGCCGAAACTTCAATCGTTGGAAGGCGAAAGCTTTCACAACAAAACAACTACTACTGAAGATGACGCTCGACTTGACATCAAGGCAAATGGACTCTGGAGAGGTCGATTCAGCCGAACCTTTTTCGACGTAAAAGTTTTCAACCCATGCTTAATCCTGCCCTAAAACTATATCTGACGCCTACAAATATCATGAGTGTCAAAACATTAAAATATCAAAAAATATTTCAGCTTTTTTCCACTAATTTTTGCGTGTACCGGAGGAGCAGCACCAGGCTCTACAAGAAACATCCAGAAACTAGCAGAGAAACTTAGCGAAAACGGAACGAATCATACTCGGACACAATAAACTGTAAAAGAACAAAAATGCAGGATCCTTTGCCTCAGGGGGTGCAAAAAACTTGAATCTACATTCAACATAGACAATTCTATCTGTGCTATAATCGAGGAGGATAGATTTTAATTGACATTTCTCTGGATGCAATAAAACCGACTTGATTTATTCGTAAACTTTTGCCGAATCCAACCCGTGCACGTACCGTCGCATGACGGAAGGGCCCATTCTAATTGACCCCTTTCTAAAACTACCCTCTTAAATCTCAGACTTTCAAAATTCAGTGGATAGAACTGGTAGTGGAAACTCCCCTGTCAAAGCGGCTACGCCCAAATCGTATTACACAAAAAAGTACAGCCCTCGGAGTAGACGAACATGTTTTGACCGTTTTCGATTTTTTCCTAACTACCCTCCCCAATAAAAGAATGAGGTTTCAATGAAAGTAACAGGTAATGGAAAGCTCCCCTGCTTTCTCTGCCACCTTTTTTTCTGACCGTATTTTGGAATTTTTCTCGAAAGATACCCTCCCAAATCTGGGACTTTGGGCGCAATCGAAATTGCAGGTTGCTTGAATTTCTTCACAAGTGGTTACGTGCAAGTTCTTCAACGCAAAAAGCTATGAATCTCTTAGATGTCTATTTTTATATATATTGACGGTTTTTTGTAAAGTGTTTGACTTTTCTCAACTATTCTGCCAAATGTGATATCAATAGTTTACTCAAATCAACAAGTTATTCAAAGCCTAACATTGTAATTAGCTACGCCACATTTTAGATAAGTTATGGCTTTCAAAAAGTCATGTTTTGAAACTTGAATGTTTTTTGGTAACTTTTTTGACTTTTATCGAAAACTACTCTTTAATTTCGCAGAATTTTGGAAAAGTTCAAATTTTTTTATCGAAAACTTTTCTTCCACTTCTCAGGTTAAGTGTTCAATCGAGAAACTCGGTTATGGGAATTTTCTCTGGTTAAGCGAAGATGATTAACCTTGTGATTTTTCTTAATAACTACTCTATCAGATCAGAAAAGGAAGCTCAATAGAATGACCCGATTGCAAGGTTTTTTCCTGTAGAAGAGGTCATTCCTTAGGTTTTTGAAACCCTTGCGATAAGCAAGAGTATTGCACTCAGGTACTAGACTTTTTCCCGTTTTGTTGACAAAATGGTAATCAGTATAAGTCATACCCGCTACATGCATGGTTAGTGCATCGCTGTTTTCTGAATTATTAGTATAGTTACTGTGTTGCTGAAATATGTACCGCTAGGGTAAAGAGGTAGCGTCCCTCATGCTTGAAGGACCGAATGCTTGAAATTAATTTAAGCTTACTTTCAGCCAATCAGAATTGAGTATTGAAAATCTCAAAGTAAATCGCAAAAATCTTAAAGTAAGAAAATAAATCCAGGCCATAAGTGTTAATATTGACCGATTAAATAATAAGCAGATGAGTTTTCAAGACTGAAAAATTCTTATGATTTTGACCTCATTAATCTTGATGATTATCTGAATAGTAATGCGATTGTAACCCGCAATTTGTAATATTTTCGATTTTTTCCATTGATTTAATACATTTTCTGTTAATATTGACTTCGATTTTGTGAGAAAGGCATTTAGCCAATAGGAATGCTTAGCGATTTCGATTGGTTGAAATTTTTCAAGCATTCGGTCCTTCAAGCATGAGAACCGTCCCCGGGTAAAGAGTTAAAATTCAAGCATGAGAACCCTCCCCGGGTCGGCTTTTATTATGTAGCTTAATTTTCCTTATATTTTTTTTCTATCAATTTTTTAGTTTATTGCAGCGATAGAAGTCTAACGATAAGTTTTTGAAAAACCTTAATCACCACTAAAAGCCCTCTGTAATAAAATTTTTAAAAATATATAAAAAATTGTCTATTTACATTTTAATTTAAATTTCTGGTTTTTCCACAACTTGTACGTTCAACAGCTGTTTTTTAACATCTGGCTTAGAGCTGCTGAAGTGATACTGGGTCTTCAGCTGAGAAAACTTTTCAGTTATAATTTGATTTTTTATTTCGTACGAATTTTTGTCGACTTCTTGCCGGGTGTTTTATTTCGGTAATTATTTGTCGGTTTTTTCTGCACTTTTGTTCTTTATATTCCATAGGGTAAATTTAGTTAATGCTTTCTTAATTCGTTTTCTGTTCGGAAATAAAAAAAACTGAAATCAAAAAAAATTGCAAAAAAATTTTCAGTTTTTTTTCGGACGCTGGTTTCTGATTTTTGAAATCAGAAAGTACGCGTGGGACTAGTTTAAATTTTTACTTGTTTGGTGTATTTTAAGATTGAGCGGTTCTGTTTGAAAACAATTCAAGTTGATGGTATAGCGAATTGTTTTAATGTCAAAATTGTTTCGAAAGAAAAATCGTACGTTTCCAGAATGTTTTATTGCAGTTCTGACTTAACTGTTTTGTCGACGAAGATATATGACAAATTTTTCTTAAAGATTCAAGTGTGTGGTTCTGTTTTTAGCTGAAAATTCTCAATTCATTTTTTTGCAGTTTGTACTGGTCTTTTTTATATTCACATTTTAGGCTGCCATCCACCAGTTCCATTAACGTTGCGTGTCAACTTCATATTTGATAAGTTTGATAAAATTGAGTTTTCATAAGCCTTAATAGTTTTTTCAGGTTTTATGCAAGTTTGTGAGGAAATTACCTGATACTTTTGCTTTTTTCTTTTCAATTTTTTTCTCAATTTTTTCATTTTAGTTTATAGCAAATACGGGTCGGCCTTTTGCGAAACTCAATTGTTCCTGCAGGACATGTAGTTTTTTTATTTGCAAGATTTAAAGCAAAGTTTATTAGTACGTTTAGAACTATTGGATATCGGTTTTTTGACAAACTTTTTTTTTATCGTTTCCATCTATTGGTTATGAGAAAGACATGAATGGAGTTCGTGTTGCCCTTTTTTTTTCAATTACTTGAAAATTTTTCTTGATTTTTCAAGCTTACGATTTATTTAACAGATTTCAATCAAGTTTTTCACTTCGTTTCAGGCCCATTGTTTTGATTTTTCTCAATTTTTGAATTTACCCAGATCTT